CATAACTAAACAACAATGATGTAGAATATATGAGACGTTTCATTTACAAATTATCCAATTTTAATAAATCATACAAATCAATCTTAGACGTTCATTTACTCTAATAAAAATTTGATTTCATTTTGTTTTCTAATCTTAAGTCATAATCATAATGAACGAACCTTATCTCTTTCATATATATTTCAATCATAATTAATGAACGATGAAAATTAACCATAAATATCTCTATTGTTTCCTAATATAACAATTTGTTAAAATTAGATGGTTTGTAAATGAAACGTCCCCTATATCTATATATGGGTTGGTTCGATTCAGATAATAAGGTTAAATATTATGAGAATGTAAGAAATGAAGGTTCCTATGTGAGTTCATTGAAAAATCTATTTGAAAATGCACATGTGAACCGACGTTACAAATTTTTCATGTAGGTTCACATATGCATATTCAAATGGATTTTTACATTGATTCACATATGAACTTTCCTTTAACTACCCTTCTTACATCCTCATGATATTCAACTTTTTTATTTCAACCACCCACTATATAGGATCAAGTTCATGTCAGAACAACAAAAAACACTTGAGAACCGGAGTTGCGTATTCATCGATGCATATATATACCATCAAAATATGTATTATGTCAATGAATATATTCATCGATACATATCTACTATGTAAGTATATGCATTTATGCATACACAATAAAAATCAAATCACTAGTGTATATGCATCAATGAATGTACAAGTTCTTTTATGGTTCTAACATGAGCCGCTCCTATGCATATGCGTGTGCTTAATCATTTGAGAATTCCAAAAATTTAAATCGGTGAGATCTATTCTAGTCTACTAATTTGCCTTAATTAATTTGATCTATTAATTAAACAAAGAAGGTGAATTTAGTAATTAAATAATTAATTATAACTCTATCAAACCATTTTTTAGGAAAGTCATATATATATATATATATATATATATCACATAATCTCTCTCAATTATAACCTCTCCTTCTTTTTCTCACCTCTTATATTTATCCAAACCTCACTCTAACTACCAGGTTATGTGTTTAGTATGAATAAACTAGTATAATAAGGTTTCAAATAATAAACATATTAAAATCATATTGTAAGCATATTAAAACAATATTGCTTATACTGTTAGGTATATGTGCATATTGTGATGCTATCACACCGTGAACTAAATGTATCACAATGTACACCAACTAAGTGTGTGTGAATGTTATCATCACATCGTATACATACTATTATTATGCATAAATTAGAAGGTTCTCAAATGAAGACCCTCTATATATATGGATCATAGTAAAGGCGGGGTGGGTAATATCATACCTGAACCTGTCCTATACCCACAACGGATATAGAAATCAAACCCCCGTCTTTTGCCCCATTATGTGCTAAGGCGGAAAATCCATGAACCACTAGGATTGGGTGTTCATATGGGTCATATTTCCGTTTCTAATTAGGTAAGAGCTCAAAAGGGGTTAGTTTTTTAGAATGTGTCAAAACTAGTTGTGTTGATCCATCAACAACTTTTTTGTCTGTTTTGAATTTTATAAGTAATTAAAATGTACGGAATATGATCAAAAAGTTATTAATAACCACTCATGTTTTCTCTAAATGCATTTTAGAATGTTATAAACACTTAGAGAGTAGGTTTTTAATGGTTGTTAACTCCTTTTTTCTTCTCTGTTGGAGTTATTTCGTAAAAACTTGCCACCGTTCAATTTTTTAACAATTATTTTTGAACTTGCTCGTTTCGTTCACAAATCACAATTGATAAAATATAATTCAAACTAATCAATTGATAAGCAGTATAAATTACACAAATTTATTATGATTTTTCAAAAAAAATCCCACAAGTCGATGAACGTGCTTGGATGTCTTTAGTAGATTTTTCAATCACATTGTCTTTCAAGCTCAGATAACTTCCCAAAGTAATGTACTTTATCAAACCAAAAAAGAAAACAGATCGAGTATTTCTCACTTAAAGGTATGATTTGAGGATGAGATTATTGTTTACATGCCTTCTACTTTAAAGACTAAACGATTGTTTCGTGAAAACCCCTCGTGTAGTTTAATTTACCATTTCATTTAAAACTCTTCCATCATAATAATTGTATTTTATCTGTATTATTCTCTTTTGATTAATCAACATATCAATCAAGAAATATAAGCTTGTTTGGTTAATATTTTATTCTTAATGAGTTATATTAAAGAATCTACGTGAAATAAAAATGAAAAAAAAAATCATAATGGTTGCTATTTTAACAAATTTAACAAAAACTCCATTTGTGGGGCATATTATGTGACACAGAGAGGTCGGCAGTTCATGATGCTTTTCTTTGATCTTTGGAGAAGAAGGAAATGAACTCGAAATAGGCCCGAAATACTACATCGAGAACTCGTTAACAGTGGCCTACGCAATTTCCCACGGGACTTGGGTCACGTACCTGGCCGCACGCGAGTTTTCTAACAGTCCCGGACAGATTGCGTTTATTTCTTTATTTAATTATTTTGTTTCTTAAAAATTAAAAGTATTAGTTATTTGTTTTCTAAATTAGATTAGGATTATTATTTAGTTATCTTTTTTTTTTATCATTTTAAATAGTTTCCTAGTTAATTAAGAATTAGGATTAATTTAGTTTCCATAATTATCTTAATTAGTTTAGCTATAGATATGATTCATTGTTTTTATTGTTATACACATTATTATCAATACAATTTCTTCTCCTTTGTGAGTTTTAACAGTTTTTTTCTTAGTTTATCGAGTTTTACGAATTGTAATTCTCAACCCAAAAGCGTTCTACGTTTTCCGATCCCTCCATAAATCTACACTGCATCAGTATGTTATTAATGCAATTAAAATAGTAATTGTAAAAAAAATGTGTTATAACTTTACTCAATTATTAATTGGTATGCATATGAAAATATATATATATAGGTGGAGGTTCAAACGAGAACCTCTGTGATTTACGAGAACGCGAGAATAACCTAATAACCTCAAACTTTTTTAATGAATAAATTAACTTTTATTATATATAAATAATTTAATAAGGGTAGTAATGTAATTAAGTAATTTTTATAATTTTTATTTTATTTTAATTAATCATAATTATCCTATCACGTTTCCACGTTTTACTCTTGTTAGTTTTCTTCTTCTCCATGTCGTTCATGTTTCTTCTCCATATCACATCCATATCACATGATTTAACTTATCAACTAAAACGATAACCCAAGTGATGTATAACGGTGATTATCACACACATATCACATGATTATCACACCCATATCACATTATTACACCAAAAATTTAACTTATCAACCAAAACAATAACCCAAGTGATGTATAACGGTGATTATCACACTCATATCACATGATTATCACACTCATATCACATGATTACACCAACTCAGATGATTATCGTGTAATTGTGTTAAAATATTTGATGATATCATTTCCATTATTACCGTTTTAATTTTAATATTTTTTGAATCTTTTTAAATTTCAATTTTAATTTTAAAAATCTTTTAATTTTATTTTTTATCACAATATGAGGTTATTGGGTTGTTCTCGCATTCTCATAAATCACAAGGGTTCTTGTTTGAACCCCTCTCTCTATATATATCTATGTGGGGGATGAAGCAACTAAACTCATAACTTTAAATGTTGTTTCCTGCGTCTTATATCAGCTTTAAATAAACAATCAAACACCTACACTTTAATTGTCGTTTGTTATGTCATCATCAAATTACCATAAAAGTCAAACATCAAACCCTTGTTTTAGTCAATACATTTTTTAAGGGAAAACAACATTTTGATTAGATTAACCAATTATAGTATTCATGATTATTAAAGTTTTCATGAGATATTGAGTAATTTTTAAATTTAAATTATTTCTAACTCGAAACTTGCGTCTTATAAGAAACTCTCACATATCTGATGACTTATCAAAAACTATCTTATTTATATTCTTGAGGTTATTGTTAGGTCTACTTAATGGTTTTTATGAGGTCAAGTCTCGGTACTGAAATATATCTAGGTTTTCAGGATGTTAAGGGGGGTCGTTTACCAAACGCTAACCGTGTAAGTGCTTAACGACAAGCACCGAGAATCTAACCCAACTAAAGAAATGGCAAGAATTGAAAATTTTACACAGTATGTGAGTGTGTGTGATGATTCTTACCTTGTTAGTACTTACCAAGGAAGAGAAGTTTACCAAGAATCTTATGATGTTATTTTAATGATTAAGAATCTTCGACAATTAGGTTTAGGTAGTGATGGTGGTGACTTTTAATGTCTCAGTAGTGACATATCTAGGATTTGTGACAGGAGTATGCATTTAGCCAGGGTTAGCCTTAATATTTTGAAAACCCTGCAAATTGAACGTGATTTTTCAAATATATTATATATCTCTTAATTAAAGATATTTTTTTAATTTACTTTTATAATCTTTTTAACATTTAAAAAACATAACTTCAAGTTTTATGCTTTTTATAAGTTTTATATTTGTAAGACTTTTAGAATTGATCATACACCTTTTGTTATTTTGAATTGAAGCTTATAAGTTGCATATTGAAGATGGGTTTAAAGGCCCATAAAACAAATGTAGAAGTAGAACTATGAAGTATTTAAATGCTTATACAAAATGAAGTATTTAAATGGTTATACAAAAATTCTTAAATCATTTCATTCTAATAATATTATATTAATTTTCATTAACATTGAGTAATTTAAAAAAATAAACAGAGATACTAAAACCCATGACCCAACATGTTCAATCCTTGGTTTTTATGCAGTTTAATGTGAGATATTTATTTAAGTTGGGGTGAATGAAAAACTCATCATTCATTGCAATTGAAATGAATGTTGGCAATGAAATACTCAGCCACCAAGTTTATAGTTTTCACATGATTTTATAACTGATTCAGACCTGCTATAAATAATTAATATATGAAGACAAGTACACACACCATATATGAAATGGAAAATTCAAAGTTACAACTCCTCTCCTCTCCTCTCCTCTCCTCTCCTCGGTAGTTAGTAGTAGTAACAGCAGCAACACAAACTTTACAATGGACCCAACTACTATTCCAATTCAAATTCAAATTCAGATTCAGATTCAGATGCCTTATTCAATAACATAGTTAGGTGCCACTGCAAGAATCCTGTTGTTTCGAGAAGATCGTCTCCCATTTCCATCATCCCCATCTGCTGCTGCTGCTCCTGCCTCCTCTTCGTCCACTACGATTAAATGCCCCTCCCTTCTTACCAAACTCTGCACCATTCCCATTCAAACCAATATCATTATATATACGCACGCACACACACACACAAGAGTAGAGTAGAGTAGAGTAGAGTAGAGTAGAGTAGAGTTTATTAAGTTATTTATACCTCTATGATGGCTTTGATCTTGGTCACTTCAGCCTTTGCCTCTTCCATTGAGTTGTAGTTGTTCTTCTCATTCTGCTGACCCACGTACCACTGTATCAAATCCCTTTGCCTCATTCCAGCCAGTCCACTCCCTTCATTAATCAATTATCAACCCAACTCTTAATTCATTCATTCATTTCATTATTATTATTATACCTGTATATTTATATATCATGCAAATGTACCTTCTCGTGCAACACTTTCCTCATGCTGTCTAAGACGCATCACAAGCGCCTGAGTCACCCGCTGAAAGTACTCGTCTGTTATCACAAGTTTCTTCCCTCCTCCATCACCATTTTCTGCACAAAATCACTCTCGATCCTCATATCTCACATTATACTAAACAAAAACAAAAACAAAACTCCAATTACCAACCTGGATTCCCCCCATTATTTACGTCTGCATCTGCATCTGCTGCACCACTTGGCTGAGCTTCCCCATTTCCACCTATCTCACCATCTTCTTGATTCTCTTCTTGAAATTCAGTCAAATCAATCTCAGTCGACTCCACACTGCACGTTAGGTTCCTATACATAATTAGAACCAAGACTACAAACTAATTTTGCAACCAACTATCAACATTCGAAACATGCCTGATTACTGAAGTTTTTAGGAGTCTTGTTGCTACACGAACATGTCTTGGGTGAACCTGAAATACATACAGCACACAATTTAGTCAAAATTCATCATGCAAATCTTCAACACCAAAATGTGAACAAGGTTCTTTTTGCCACCTCATCATCCAGATGACATCGGGCAATTGCCTCTGACAGTCGGATTAGTGCCTCCAACTGCCTCACTGTCATGCGATATGCCACTCTACTACCTGGAGCTGTATCACCTCTACGCAGAGCAACATAAGAATCCACCAATATTTGTCTCGCCTCTGCAGTTAGCTGCATTTTTATTCAGATTCTGTCAGATGATGATGTAATTGGGCAATGCAGCATCAACATTAGAAAAATAGGCAAGCACAGAAACAAAATTGAACCTTTGGCTTTTTAGATTTGGCAATTGCAATGTAACGCTTCAATTGTGCAGTGCTGAATGTGGGCGCAACTGCCTCTTCGCGTTTCTGATGCACCCTCACAATGTGAGAGGCAATATGGTAATCCGTGGTATCATCAGGGTCATCAATCATCACATATACCAAGTCAAACCTTGAAAGGATGGCTGGAGGAAGAGCAACGTTGTACTGCAAATTATTTCAAGTTCTGTTAATGTATCCGATTTCGTAAGGAAGATAACTGATCATTAAAGATGTACACAAGCTAAATTTCTCACCTTCAATGGTTTAGACTTATCATAACGGCCTCCAGTTGGATTGGCAGCAGCCAAAATTGATGTTCTTGCATTCAATGTTGCTTGTATTCCTGCTTTTGTTATACTAATTGTTTGTTGTTCCATGGCTTCATGTATTGCAACCTTTTAAGTTGATTTAATATCAGATGGTGGTACATTCTGGTAACCAAAGAGTAACATTCGAGGTTCTAAAGGTTAGATAATTACCTGATCTCTTACATCCATTTTGTCAAATTCATCAATACAACATATGCCATTGTCTGCAAGCATTAGTGCACCAGCCTGAGAACATAAAAACAACCCTCTTAATACATCCGGATCTTTACGAATAGTGTCCAAAAAAATTCTACAAAGTTCAACAAAAAAATCATCAAAAAAATTGCAGCAAACAGGAAACATAAGCTTGTTGGTCATTTCAACAATAAAAAACCATCAGAGAATTGCAGCAAACAAAGAAACATCAAAAAGATTTGCTCCCTCATTTAAACCTGTGATTCCTCTCATTCAATTTCAGCATTTAGTTTATGAAATTGATTTCCAAACTTCAAATAGCAGGCACCGAATACACTACTAGACTTCCTATCACAATGTGCTTCAATATCAATAAACTATTCAATGCCTTCAATCAGAATCCTTTTAATTCTAAGCAATGTTTATGGAAGACATGATTGGAGATGGTTGTATTTTTCAGGTTTGTGGTTTTGTGATAAACCATAATTCTAGTAGATCCATCAGTTGCAGGAAAATGAATGATCCTTTGCACCAACCTGTGCATAAAATGGTAGCAAGATCCACTGCTTTATGAATTCATTCCTAGAATTTTATCAAGTAATCTAACAAGTAGTCAGCCTGAACTTGGTGATTTTAGTTACATAGATTCCTACTGCTAGAATAAGTAGATCACTTCTATTAGTGATAGAATTGCATCAAGATATTAAAAATGGCTCCTCAATGTGCCATGGAAATTAGAAGAGTTAATAAAAGTGTAATGCAGCTGAGAATTTCATGACAAGTTACTTTATTTTCTGATTAAAAGAAACTATTTTAAATATAGATGAAAAAAAACCCAGTTAATCAATTCAAGATCAACCAACCCTTTCATAAAAGCAGCATTGAGTAACCACCAAATCATAAGTCATAAACATATAAATCATGAGTAATGAGACAAATTTCTGCACATTTCCCTTCTTTGAACCACATCGATATTTGCAACTACAGAAGTAGAAATATCAACTACTAATAGATATTATGTTTTGCTAGACTAATAGAAGGGTACCTCAATACAAAACTCTCCAGTTTCTGGTTCTTTTGCAACAGTGGCCGTCAATCCAGCAGCAGATGAAGATTTCCCGGATGTGTAAACAGATCTTGGAACTAAGCCTGTTGTGTACCTAAAGAAGAAGAAATGTGAAACCTAGCTCTTTGTATATGCAGGTGTTGGATATAAGAAGTTGTAAAGGAGGCATACTTGAGAAATTGAGATTTAGCACAACTGGGATCCCCAACAATGCAAACATTGATGTCTCCACGAAGATTGATTCCTTCATGAGTAAACTTATGGACTCCACCCAAAAGCATAAGCAGGATTGCTCGTTTGATGTCTTGATGACCAAAAACAGTAGGACAAATACTGTCAACAAGCTTGTTGAAGAAGTCGGGTGTATTTCTCATTTGTTTAACCTCGGCCAACTCCTCTGACTACAATCATATAAGAAACATAGAATAAGTGTGTTTCATTAAAAATGAAACATGTAATTCTAAAGAAAAGTAACTGCCTTCTAAATTTATTAAACGCAAACCAGAATAAGGAACAGAAACAATTTCAGAAGTGCACCACACAACTGAAGAAATGTAACGACCTAAACCCAATGTAATAGACTGGCCCAATAACCCCCAAATCAACTTAAAACAATAATGGAAGTAATTAGTAGCCTATTACCAAGGACATATAAATGACTACTAATTATAATTCCTAACCGATGTAGAAAAGGTTGTCAAAAAACTATTACTCCATTTCTCATATAATACGCTTATTAAAGCAACGAGGTGATAGAACACCAACCGAGAACTGTGGATTGTCATCATCCTCAGCATCCCTCTTCCTATTTCGTATGTCAGAGTCCCTTCTGCCATCACAAATCTGAATAAAGGATCACAGTTATAACCCAATAAAATGTAATATGGTCTTAATACAGACAAAACAAAATAACAATATTTATATATACATATATATATATATATATATATATGTCCTCTAGCATGTGGGATTGACGAAAGAAATGGTGGGAAATGGTGGGAAACTGTGAAAAATATCAAAGAAAAAGTAAGTAGAGTTAAACTGAAAACCTGTACTGAATTGGCAATAAAGGCAAGGCGATAAGAAAGGTCTCTAACTCCCAATGCCCGAAGACCTTTAACACCTTCTTGGGCAGTGCCACTGCCATTACGTTGACCACCTTCTCTACGGCATTCAGCTCTCTCCCCCGGAGATGCCAATGCCAAAATGTCCGGTATGACAACCACAGTGCCTGTAAAGATAACCCTGCAAAGGAAAAACAACAAATTTTACTTCTTGGTATGAACAATGGTGACCATCATGTAGTGCTGTTTAAAGTATAATTGCATACGTGTCACCGGCCCTAGCCTGTTCAACAATGTCATGGCGAAGAATGACATCTAATGATCTAGGAAGAGATCCTGCAGGTATTTCCTTTGATGTTTCTTGCATCCTGACTCTCTGCCAATCTGCAAATTTGCTTTCTTGCCGGAGAAGTGTCCATCTTCCTTTCCTTGAGCACATAGCATTCATGCATATCATGGGCTAGGTACAAAAAACCAATGCAAGCAGTAAGCACAAAAAAGCACAATTTTGCAGATAGGATAAATGAAACTTGAAAATTGAATTTGTCCAACCATATTATAAACATCAAACCTAACCTCGGTGTATTTATACTGTTGCTCAACATTTTTAATGATAGTTGCACACTCCAAGCACTTGAAAGTTCCCTGAAGGAGTTCTGGCCTAACTTCGCTTGTACGAGTCACCACTCCTGTTACTGATACTAGTCTACCTATCTCAGATGTGCTCAGTTCCCTCAATCTGTAACACACCCATATAAAAAATTTGAAATCTGGAAAGAAAAGGGTACCAGAAATAGTGAATTTAACAACCAAAAAACATGTGGATACCTTTTTATGATAGGTAGGTTGTAAAATGCGATATTTATATCCTTATTAGGGTTGTCGTCAGTTATGAAAGTAGGTTTCTGTCCCATCACGAATCGCTTACAGGCGTTCTTCAGGTACGACTCAAACCTAAAAGTTGTATCATACAATTCCCCAATTTCAGTATACTATATGTAAAAAAAACAAATTCTTGTGGACTATAATCAGAAAAAAGGTTAGAAAGTTGACCTCAGATATTCATCAGAAATGGCTTTCTGCAGAACATCGTTGAACCGCATAACATGAGAGAAATCGATAAACATGGTGTTAGACTCATTCGGTCTCATTGCTTCGATTTCCGATTCGTAGAAAGGTTCTCTAGAATTCGCATCTAATCTAAAGCTGTAATCACAAAAATTAAGAAACAAAATTTGTCAAACAACAATGAAAAGTGTATCAATTGATTTGGGACCTAGAAAAAACAAAAACCCTCTGGTGGTACCTCTTAAGGAACTCCAAGAAGATATTCTCGACCTTGGCTGCTTTCTCGTCGGTGAAGTATACGCCGCCGAATGAATCCATTTTGGTTGAGTAAGGTATAATTTTTTGCAAAGAGTAATGGATGATTGGGTGGTAGTGTGGAAGATGGATCTGTGAAGTGTATGCAGGTATATTGGCGGGAAAATAAGCACAGGCGTTGAAGGGTTTCCCGCCACCTCTCACACCTCCATGGGCTGGACTGGGCTGGGCCCGATCTTGTGACCTAAATGGATCCAACGATACCATGGGCTAGAGATGGCCAAAAACCGGTCCCAGGCCGGTCCCAATCGGTCCTCACCATTCTCACAACCGGTCATAACCGGTTCCGGCGTAACCAGTCCCGGTCGAAAATGATAGGACCGGTATAGGTACTTTATAACCGGTTATGGGCCGCCGGTCCCGGTCCCAACCGGTCCTTCATTAAAAAAATAAGATTTTTTATTTTATTTTTTTAATGATATATATTTTTWATACATTATAAAATTTACAATTGGGTCACTCAAATACACTTTAAAAATGCGTTTTAATATAATTAAAATTACGTTTTCTTATAAAAATACATTATAAAATTATTTAAAAATACATTTATTTATAAAATTAATTGAATTTTCGGGTCGGGCCGGGCCGGTCCTTAGTCGGTCCCATAACCGGTCCCGGTCCCACGAAACTACCAAAAACCTCAATCGGTCCCGGTTTTCGGTCCCATAACCGGTCCTTACCGGTCCCGGTCCCGGGCCGGTCCTTTGTCGGTTCCGGTCCCGGGCCGGGCCGGGCCCATTTGGCCATCTCTACCATCGGCTGATCCAGTTTAACAAACAGATCATAATTGGATATTAAATTGTAATTGAATCGGATCAGATTTAAAAATTTAACATCCAAATTGGATTGGTCGGTTATGTCTACAATCCAATAATTATAAATTTATAAATATATTATAAAATCACGATAAAGCGACCATTGCCCAAAAAGTAAAGAGTTCTAATAAATTAGATTCTCAAATACATATTGCGCATAAATTAAAAATTGAAGTAAAAAAAGTAAACTTCAAACTAAATTGGAAGTGTGAGTTGGACGTGTTGGTATGGTCATATGGGCCTTAAAGTTAACTTATTAACATTGTTAATTCTCATTGATCAAATTCAAAGTGCAAAACATAAAATTAAAAATCATTACATAAATAATAAATTAACAATTATATATACACACATATATATTGTATATAAAATTAAAAAATATATATATAAAATATATGGTGCGGTGCGATTTGAAAACTCAAAACAATAAATCTCATCATAGCGGGTTGGATATCCAGGTTAATCAACAAAAAAAAAATTCATCATATAATGCAGTTTGGTAAAAATTCAAACCGCAACGTGAAAATTTTAAACCACATTTTGTGGTACGATGTGGACAGTTTGTACAATTTCACGGTCTAAATGAACACCCCTGACTAAAAGAGTTTAGTATATTCAATCATTATATATATATATATATATATATCATTATAATGATTATATTTTATGTTGCTTTTATTAAAAAATAAATATTAGATTTCCTTTTTAATGATTAATTTTCATTTTTACCGAATTTTATATTCTGCTACCAACAACTAGTTTTCTAATTCTTATTAAACTTTTAAATTATTTATATGTTACTATCAAGTCGAGACAATCTTGATCAAAGATGAATTGATGTGCATTTCTTCTTATGTTCGGTTTACGATGTGGAGATTGAATTGATGAGCCATTTGTTCTTTTCTTGTCAAGTGGCACGGGATATTAATTTGGAAGCAAATTGGCCGATGGCAGGATTTGGATATTCCCGAGTTTAATTCCAATATCGATTGGATTGGGTGGTTATTATCTTTATGGCTGAAAAAAGCGGAGTCGGTTTATTTAGAGGCGGTAAGGACTTTATATGGGTTATTTGGTCTTTTGGAAATGGGATTATTTTTAGGCTTCGTAAGTTTAAGAAAGTAGTGTTGTGGGATAGGTGTGACTCATTCGTTCTCCTGGGTAACAAAATATGAGTAGTAAATTTAACATTAATTGGATGGGTTGGTTACAGAACTATTTACTTGCTATTTCTTATATGTAATCTGTCTTTATAAATTCTTGCTAGTTTTTTATAAAATATATGCCGTTTACAAAAAAGAAGTTATTTTTATTTTATAATATATAGAGGAGGTTTCCAATAAAACTCATGCAATTGTTACAAACTATATATAGAACCTAATCAATTGAAATATTTATAAAAATAATGAGAATTCATTTATAGTTTAGATATTTATATAAAGTAATTAAAATACATTAATTATAATTAATGTTTTATATTAAGAAACAATCAAAAAATATATAAATGGATTGAGTTGCTTAGTAAACCAAATTACATTAAAGAGGACGACTTTATATCTTGGAAAAACACTTGCAGGATTTTTAATTTTTGAAATCAACTTTTAAAAAATTTATTTTAGGAAAACACAAAATGAATAAAATTGCTAGAAGTTTTTAAAATTGATTTATTTATTTTGAATAAATAGTTTTATTATTTAAACAAATATAATTTAATTTTCATAAATAATTTCCAATATATATAGGTATGATCTTGAAAGTGGATTGTCATAAATTACAGTATATAATTAAAAACAATGTGATGGAAACAAAATCTATAATTGATTGTAAATAGAAGATTGCATTTGGATCTTTAGGCAATCTAAAACGGCATATTCTACAACTTAATATACACACACACATATATATACATATATATATCACAGTATCCTTTAATTTAAGTTGAGATACGATGATCAATAGATTATGATTATCAGTGACCGTTACCCATCAAATAAGCGACGGACAACACCTATATATAAACACACCCATCAACCAGCTTCTTCCAAACCATCAAAAAAGCCATATCATCAACTTCGATTTCCTTTCGTTATCAAGCACATCTGCTTTTCTTGATCGTCAGGTTTGAATCTTTCCACATTTCTACAGTTTAGTTTTCAAGATCTCCAGTATTAATATCGAACTTAATTTGTTATATCTATAGTTAACGCGTTGTAGTCATTCATATATATATATATATATATATATGTATATTGGACCAGGGTTTTCTGTGTTTATATATATATATATATATATAGATAGCAGTGATGGGGTTGTTGATGGTATATATTGAAATGGGATGACTGGATTTCTGCATCCATCCAACAGGTTTCTGTGGCCATCTTTCTGAGACCTGGTTGAACAACTGATCCTATTAATCTGTGTTTTCAATCCAACGTAAAAGAATATTTCAATTCTGGGTATTTTTGAGTTGAATCTATACATGATTTATGAATGGAAATCAATCATATCTGTCTTGTTTAATTAATTAGGCATGGAACTCAACTAATTGTATGTATTCGTTGTATATATGATTTAGAATGGGAGTGAAAGCAGCAACAAGATTGTCACCAAGACCATCGGTTTTCAAAAGCCTTGGAAAAGAAAATATGAATATGAATCAAGTGAAGAAGAACATGGTGGTATGCAAGTATTGGTTGGAAGGAAGATGTAATCGAAACCCATGCAGATTTTTACACTCCAACAACAAATCCAAATATTCTTGGAAGAATCCCACCATAAAGGAGCAAAAGATGAACAACAACTCAAATGCGATAATCACTCAAACTCAAGATAATATCGGAAAGAAGACTCAGAAGTCGACGTGCAAGCAGACTCATCATCAAAATTATAGTATTTGTGGGAAGGGGACTGAAGATCAATTGCATTCATGGTTCCATGGAAAGGAGCTCTCATTGGTGGCCAAATTGGAAGGCCACTCTAAGGTTTCTTCCACTGAATTTCTGCATTAATTCCTTATATACATATATATATATATATACATATACATATATATATATATTAACTAATAATATTGTGTGTATTCAGGCCATCACAGGGATTGCTTTGCCATCTGGTTCTGACAACTTGTATTGTAGTAGCAAGGACAAATCCTTACGGATTTGGGATTACAGCACTGGAAAGGTTTGTATCATATATATATATATATATATTCTTAATTATTGTTACTAGCTACGACCTATTTTCATATCAACACCATCCTTTATTAATTTGTGCTGTACATGCAGTGTGGGACTGTTGTTGACTTGGGTATGGAGTGTGAGACTTTGGTTAACGAAGATTCATGGATTTTTGCTGGGCTCACAGATGGTAATATTAAGGTATATATATATACATATATATTTTCTTAATGTATATATGTAATTAATTAAGCTCCTCACTGATCATATATACTAATTGTATGTACTTCTACCTGTGGTATATAGGGTTGGAACCTCAAGACACAATCTCAAGTGATCCTTGAACGAACCGGTGGAAAGGTTAATGCAATTACAACCTACAATGACCTCCTATTTGCTGCCATTCAGGTAAATCTATACATATATATAATATATATCAAATAATTAATAATCATGTTGTGATCAATTACCACTTAATTGTTATACATATATATATATATATATATATATGCATGCAGGATGGCACCATTTTAGCATGGAAATCAACTTCTGAAACCAGTTTCTCCCAAGTTGCTGTAGCGTTAAAGGGTCACACTGGCGCAGTACTTTCTCTGGTCGTTGGAGCTCATAAGCTCTTTTCTGGTTCTGCAGACCATACTATAAGGGTATATACATAACATTCCTTATTATGTTATAATATATATTTCCTTTTTAATTAATATTAATTTGGGTGTATATATATGTTGAATTCAGGTATGGGATCCTAAATCTCTCGAGTGTATGCACGTTTTAAAAGGGCATACGGGAGACGTGACAACGGTTCTATGCTGGGATAATTATCTGTTGTCCGGTTCTTTGGATAAAAACATCAAGGTTTCTTCACTTAATTTATTGCTTCATGTTTAATCAAGTTTTGTATGTTCAATTAATTAACTGTTAATTATATATATCAGGCATGGGCTGCAACTGAAAATGGGAACATAGAAGAAATCTACCAACACAATGTAGATGAAGTAAGCCATTAATCTCTCTAACTAATTTGAAGATGGAGTTTATTTATTAATTAAAATCTTGATCAGGAAATGCTTCAATTTCATGGCATACTCGATGCAGAAGATAAGCCAATTTTGGTATGCGCGTGCAAAGACAGCTCCGTTCGCTTATATGACCTGCCCTCGTGAGTATATATCTATTGATTCAAGAAAAATCCTTAATTTTTGGTCTATTGATTCTTTTACTAATCATATGTATCTTAATTGATTATAGGTTTAGTGAAAGGGGTAGAATCTATTCAAGACAACAAGTTGAGACAATCCGTACAAGCCCAGGAGGACAGCTTTTTGTTGGTGATGCAAGAGGCTTACTATCACTTTGGAAGCTTACATGAACATTATTACATGTATATATATAGAGAGAGAATCCCAACTCCCATGTACACATTCTGTAATCATTTCATTGAATCAAACTTCATTTCTAGTTTCATGCCCTTTTGTGTTTATTAAGAATCTGCAAATCACTGGGCAAGATATATATATATATATGTATATACTGCAGGATGATCCCATTGGTCTTCAACTATATATATATATATATATATATATATATATATATATATAAAG